GGGGTGGGAGATGTGGCAGAAGCAGCTTCTCATCATTGAATGATAAATCCATGGAAAGCAGGCTGAGCAGGCCCTGGAGCACACCGGGCTCAACCTCCCGAATCCGATTGTAGGAAAGGTCCAGAACTTCCAGCGCCTCGAAACCTTCCAAGTCTCTCTTGGTTACTTTTTCAATGACATTATGGGAGAAGTTGAGAGCTCTTGCTGTTTTGGGAGCTTGTGCTTCTGAGACAGAGGAGAGGTTGGAATAGGAGTAGTTATAAACTGGGAAGGCTGTGGGTGTTCTCCATGTTAGGAATCCACGTGCTCCACTGAACAAGAAAGAAATGAAGTAGAGATGAAGGCAGCCAGGAAGGACCCTCATCCTGGAGAAGAGAAATGTCACATCCATCATTATAATGTGCTCTGTGTTAAAAAAATAATCCTAATTTACTTGCAAATCCAGAAATTGTGTCATTAATTGTATCTACGAATCCCTTTTATCTACCAAAAGAAAATACAACTTATTTCAGAGTAAGAGAGAGGAAGTGTCAGAGAAGGATTTAAGGAGGGCTCTATTCATTTCAGGTCATTGTAGATAAAGTCTGAATTATCTTTTCTTTCTTTCCTGTCTCCCCAGGCACCTCTGCAATCCCATCTTCCATTGCTCAATCTGCAGCGCCACTCTGGGCCCACACCGTGGGACTCTGCTTTTATGTCTCTCGTCAGCAACCAGGCAAGTCTGACCCGTCCAAAACCCGTCCAGCCACCTCAGTAAAGCTCCACAGAACTGTGTGACCACGGCTCTTCCCGTGATCCCAGCCCCCTGGAGCTTTGCTCTGCCAAGGATTTACCAGCGGTTTGCTGGGCCGTATTACCTGTCAGGGGAAGTTTGCTGGGAAGTGGGATATGGGAGGCTTGTCTGAGGCAGCCGGGAGAGGTCACTGCCCCCTCATCGCTGGGCTCTGGAGAATTCCCAGTGCCGGGAGCGCTGCCCGGCTCCAGCCCTGCCCCAGCCCTGCCCTCTGCTGCCCATCCCGCAGGAACACCAACTCACCCTTCATCCCGCAGGAATACCAACCCACCCCCCATCCCGCAGGAATACCAACCCACCCCCCATCCCGCAGGAATACCAACCCACCCCCCATCCCGCAGGAACACCCAGCCGCCGGAGCACCACAGGGGTGTGAAAAGCATCACGGATGCATCACCCAGCTCGTTCCTGCTTCCAGCCACCCTCCCGTCCCTCTGCCCCCCCCGTACCTGCTCCGGTCCCTCGCCGGTCCCTTGTGCTGCCGCCGGTGCCTTTTGTGGCTCTGGGCTGGGAGCGGGGACGGGCCGGGACACCCCCGGGCCCGCCCAGCCCCGGGGACCTGCGGTAAGCGGCCCCCCCTCTCCCTCTGCCCGGCTGGAGGAGGAGGAGGAGGCAGTGCCGGACGTGATTGTCCCCGGTGGGATCTGTCAAGTTTTCCCCCTTCGGGCGTTGCTCAAGCCGTGGCCGAGGGGGAAGCGGAAGGTGCCAGTGGCTCGTTGTGATGCGCTGGCACCGGGACGGTGTGGTGAGAGGGTTCGCTCCCAGCGCAGCATCGCAGGCATCACAGCTGGGGGGAGAAGACAAAGCTCGCTGGAAGGAGTGCGTGGGGTGGCGGGTTCACCAGGGACAGGCTGGCTGAGCACCTCGGGAGCACGAATGCCGAGGGAGCTTGGATGGGACAGCACTGTGGCCGTGCTCCATCAACAACAACACAGCTCATGGCAACTATTAGCTCCATAATTCGGGTTACTTCTGCCACTGCCGCGTGCTAATGACCAAAGCCACTCGAGCTCCACCTAAGCATGACATGACATCCACTGTAACTTTACCTTTGCCCCCCCCCTCAGAGAATCTCAGGTGGGGAGGGGGGTCTGAGATGCCATTGCACCCTCTGGGGTCGGCCTCTGTCCCACAGGGACACCCACTGGGTAAGGACTCGACTCTAAATTGTTACCTCAAGCTTCCACTGGGACCAGAGCTTACCTGTAAATCATTTTCATTTTTTTCCCCCTCTTTTGCAGCTGGTCATTGGTATGACTGGAAACTCTTGTGGTAGACTGAAGGCTCCCCTGCCCTGTCCTGGAGGCTGGAAAATCCGAGGTGGTTTTGTGCTGTCTGTCTGGTTCTGACCAGGCACTTTCCTGCTGAGACAGGTTCTGGGAATTGCCCTGCAGTCATCAGTTCTTCAGACAGATGCTAATCTGCTTTGGTGAGAGACACAGGAAACTGAGAGCGCTCAGAGTACGTCAGGGGGCATTTTATCTCCTGTTTTCAGCATGGGGTGGGCTCCCACAGTCAGATAATTCTCCATGTAAATACAGCAGTGCTGCCAGAGAACCCTGGGCTGTGCTTCCCTTTGGGAAGGTGGAGCAGCCACATCCTATCACAGGGCCCAGCAAAATCCCAGAGAAAACCAGGGCTGCAAGGGACAAAGTGAAAAAGACTCTTTTTTTTGGTACAAGCACAGTTATTCTACAACACACTGTGCTGGAATTATTCTACCTTAATTCATCCAACACACCCTCTGTGTATTCATTTATTCTCCTTTTTTTTTTAAAGCAACCTCTTATTTTGGGGATTGTGGAGGAAGAGCAGGACACAAGAAAGGTCTGTGAGTGAGAAAGGAGAGTCTACACTGTGTGACCAAGAACACCATGGCAGGGTGATGAAATAAAGGGATTTCACTCCCAAAACAGGTTGTCTGCCACTTGTTCTCACTCTCCCTCTGCAGGGGATGGGATTTTGTGTGCTGGAAATGCAAGGGAGGAGAGCTGAATCTGCAGAGGAGCTGCTCAAACCCAGAGAGAATCAGCACCAACCTTCGTGAGACCCGATGTCACAGGAGCTTCCCTGATTAAGGTGGGCTTAGATTTGTGTATTGGATGAAAATCTTAGGTATTTATGGCCAGGAAATGCACTTGTCTGCTGGAAACAGCTCTACCTTCCACAGGCATGGGAGCAAACCTGCAGAACCCCTCAGGAACAAACCTGAGCAGAGCAGCACAGCCCTCCAGTTCTGGGAGCTTTCTGGGTATTCAAGAACCTTGTTTTCCCCCACTTTTGGTCCTGGCATGTTCCTGCACCTCCAGGCTCGTCTGGGAGAGGGTTGAGGCAGCAGATTACTCTCAAGTTTCTTTCTTTTAGATTCAAATGTGTGAAAACACCGAATTATATTGGAATTTACTTGCAGCAGTAGCAGCTTATGGTCTGCTGTGCCCTGTGGGGTTTCTGTGTGTGTCCTGCCTCCTCCCCTCGCTCCCACGTGGGCTGTGGGCTGTGGGCTGGGGAGGGGGGCAGCAAAGCGTGTTCCTCCTATTTGGGGGATGTGTGGGCAGGCAGGAAGAGCTGTGAGCGTGGGAGTTCCTGTGCAGGGGGAAGTCGAGGCTGAGGAGCACGGACACCACAGGTTTGGCAACCCTGTGTTTGCTCAGACAGCAGCACGAGCTGGTGCTGGGGGGCACCAGGTGCTGTGGCTGCTGAGTCAGGGCTGTGCTTCCCCTCCTCGGAGGGCAATTCTGGACTTTCTGCAGAGTGACTGTTCCTGGCCTGCCCTCCGGGCTGATCACAAGTGAGGGGCGGGCAGGAAGGTTTGGGCTCTGGGGGGTTCCCTTCCCTTCCCATGACTCAGCCCGAGGGATGCTGGGGCAGGGCTGTGCCTGCCCAGCTTTTCCCAAGAGCAGCCAGGGAGCTACAGGGCAGCCTGGATTCAAAATACAGCCATCCCAAGGGATCACACAGATCCAGGGCTGGAACGACGGGATTCACACAGCCCCTTGCCAAGGCAGCACGAGGTGAAACAAGTTTTAACCTTTCCTTACTGTAATTTGGCTGCTGTGGCCTGGGGGAGTGACACCTCTGGCAGGTCCTGATGAGGTTGGTCCAGCTGTGACTGTTCAGGGGAGTAAAAACTTGAGGGAAACTAAGGTAAGGATATGAAGTGTGGGCAACCCTGGTTTTAATGTCTCCTCTTTCTGAAAGCTCCTGGATTAGAACTTGGGCCACTTTTTGCTTATCTAGCAAATGCTTTGCAAACAAGGTTGTGGTGGGGAAATATGGGCAGACCCTCTTTCAGGGGGAAAAAAAAATCTGCGTAGAAGACTCTTCCCCTTTTGCAGTTCCCTCTGACACCTTGATACGAGCAAGAAGAGTGCCTCTCGCTTCAAATGTCAACTCACGCTGCTGCTGCTGCTGCTGTTTGGGTTTTCTGCTTGATGAGACACTAAAAGGCTTCTCTTGCAACAGAGCAGCGGTTCAGGAGGGTATTTTGGGCAGCACCTGACCAGTCACAGGGCACAGGGCTGGCACATTTCCCCCCCACAGCCAGGAATTCCTGTGCCTTGCACAAGGGCTCTGCAAAAGAGGAAACGTGGTGGGCACAGGGAAGTGACCAACACAACAACCACACACTGTTGCTACACCCCAAATGCTCAAGGCTCTGAGTGTTGGCCATTACAAACTTGTTCCACCTATTTATAATGCAAACCTACTTCAGACCCTGCTGTCAGCAGGATTTCAACTGCCTGATCCCTCCCCAGCTTCTGGGAATTTCTAGTGCCGGCAGAGTAAAACCTCCCAGCTCTCCTCTGCGAGGCAGACACGCTACAGGGAACGGGACCCCATGGCAGGGAGGGTGTTCAGCAAAATAACTGTATGAGGATGAACCCTCCAGTGTTAAATATAAACACATAAATAAATGGAATGTCCTGGGAAGCGGCCCAGGCTGGGAGAAGAAACAGCAGTCGAAGAGAGGGGTGAGGTACAGTGAACACACAGTTGCCAACAGTCAAACGAAGAGGTAGTGCTGGGGCAGTAGAAAAACCATGAGTGGTGGTGTGGCTCCTGAGCAGGAAGGGTTGGCTTCACCTTTTCCTTCTGGTGGCAGCTGGGCTCCTCATTTGAAGCTTTGGTTATTCCTGTGCCTGTTTCCAGTGGGCAGTTTGTACCTTAGGGATGCTGCTGGTGGAACGTGTCACACACGAGCCAGGCAGGAAGTGCAAGACAGGGTTTTAATCATTAAAAGTTTATCCATAAGCTCTTATATACACATAGTTATACACAAAGTGGTTCACGAGTCCCTCAGCTTAGAGCTGTGCTGGTGAGGCCTTTGCCAGCTCACAGATGGCTGTTCCCGTGGGAAGTGTCAGGATTTGGCTCATGGAGGGGGCTTTGCTGTCCTCAGCTGGGCACGGAGAGGAGCCCGTATTCATCTGCTGTATCCAGGATTTTACAGATGACTGGAGACTCCACCTGCAGCAGAGACACCAGAACATCAGAGAGCACGAACTCAGCACTGCAGGAATCTTGGGAAGAGTCACTGGAAGGAAGGGGCCACCTTAAACATGCACCTGAGACCTGGCACCTGATCTCAGGCGTGTCTTTACCTACCCCAAGGATGTATTGGCAAGAATGAGGCTCTAACATGTAAATGGTCACAGCGTGAGGGGAATCAGATTCTTTACATCTGAAAACAGAGGAGAAATCGGGGTGTAAGAAGCACAAAATAACAATGTGTTTCACTGCTATCTGCAGCATTTTTACTAAGTTAATAATCACTGCCTTCTGAGCTCTGCAACAACAGCAGCAGCAGCTTCCCCCTCCCACCTAGCAAACACACAGAGAACATCAGTTCACTTACTTCAATTTCACAGTCACCTGCCTTGGCTTGTCTGTCAAGTCACAAACATCTCCATTTCCATAGAAATGAGACACCATCCTGCCAGGAAAGATCAGAACAGAAGAGTTTGGAAGTGTTCAACACCACTTTTAAGCAGGCAGGTAAGTGGTGTGAGCCACCACCTCACTGTTCCTCAGGTATTTAATATCCAAACAGTAACAGGTTGAACTGCAGAAGCAAATGCTTGGTCAGTAGGGGAAGGTTTTATTCTGAATCATCTCCTGAGTGCTGAATTACCTATTTTTTGATGTTGATTGGGGTAGGGGGGATAAATCTTATCGCGCTGCTCTTGCCAGTTTGTTGTACGTGTTAACAAGGTGAACACTGCCAGGGCTGTCCTGTGCCAGCTGTGGCAGCAGCAGAGAGCAGGCAGAGTCTGTACCTGACGGTCTGGGTGCCATCCTCTCGCAGGTAGAAGGTTCTGGCCGCGTTCTTCCTCGACCACTCCATGTGCTCCTCCTTGCTCCAGGTACCCACGACCACGGAGGTCCTGCCACTTTCCTTGTCCTAGAAAAGGACAGCGTGCACAGAGGGTTTACTTTCTGAAATCCGGCTTCTTGAACCCAAGCTGCTGATCAGCCAAGAAAAGGAGGCAGATTCTCCAGCCCCCACAACCATCTATCAAATGCACTACAAAACTAAAGTAAGTAAAGCATAAAGAACTACCAGAGCTATTTAAACACACCTCGTGGTACTGATGAACGTATTTGCCGTAGCAGAATTCGTATTTCCACCAGCCAACACCCTGGGGAGAGATACAAGCTCAGCACTAAAAAAACAACCACCAGAACCCCAAAACAACACCCCAAAACAACCCCATGCCTTTCCCCCAGACCCTAAATTTGAGCTGTAAACCCCCATCTCTATCAATTAACAGAATGAGATTCTCATTACCTACTCTCACTTCACTGCTCAAATCAATGGAGTTTCGAGAGACAGGTTAAAAGTGAAAACCAAACAAAGACATAAAACAGGATGTGCAGGTAAGGAGTAGCTATTTACTCCATGCAGCCTTGTTCCTCACCCCGTGGAAGCAGTAGGAGCCACTAAGGAATTCCTTGATGAGCTGCTCATCAGTCAGTTTGGAGATGTGGGTTGTTCCCACCGTTAACAGCTGGTGGCTTCCAACAGCCACAGGCTTGTGAATGGAAGAGAACTTCTCTTCTTTTGTTGAAGGCATTTCTTCCTGAAATTAAAGGCTACAGTTAAATCCCCGGCACAGTCTTATAAATCATATAAATTACTGAATGCTGAGTCCAGTTGGCTGTTTTGGTCAGTTTTAGCTGAGAGAAAATTCCAGTCCAAACCTTCACACATTTGTGACCTGAAGGCCACAGAAGCTACAAAAGCTTTAAATTAGTAGCCCAAAGTGACTTGCTTTGTTTCCCTTCCAAATAAGGTGAGTTACAGGTGGTCTCAACAAGCTGAAAGACTATTTGAAAGGCTGACACCATCCTACAGAAAGTGTTCAACACGGAAAATATCCTTCTGTTTAAAATGAAACACGTCCTACCTCCTTGACCCTCCTGAAAGGCGTCTTCAGCATTTCCTGCTGCTTCTCCAGCTGCTCCAGGTTGTGGGGTTTCAGGGGGGATCCCGGCAGAGACTGGCAGAAGATGTCATTGACGGGGGAAGCCCTGAACCTGCCCAACAAGGTAGGAAGGTGTCACACCTTCAACTCAACAATCTGTGAGTTTCTGCTCAGGTAATGCAGCTGCACCCCTGGCTGGGATCCTCAGTGCAGGGGCAAAGCCCTGGAGGCCGAGGGGCTGCCTGGGGAACACACATCAGCAGCTCTGCATTTTATTCCTACCACGCAACAGAACCCCTGGCCTGTGCACTTTCTATTTGTTCTGCTACTGATAGAGAGGCTTAAAAGACTCCCACAGTAAACAGATAACAGAGTATGTGCAAACCCATCTACAGGAAAAAAATTATAGTGGATACTAAACATTTAACATTTAACTGAGTTACTCCAGCTGCCAAGTGTTTATAAAATGCACAATGCAGGATTTTGCCTCTAGTCTTTGTGGCTTGATTCAGATCAGGGATTAAATTCTGCCTTGTTCCAACATCTGTGTAAATCCAGGAATCCTGTCCGTTATCCTGCCACGTTCTATGTCATATTATTTACTCCCTTTGCACTACTCTTCACACCCCTTGAAGGGTCCAAAAAGGTGTGACTGAGACTAAGGGATCCCTCAGATGCACAGCACAGCTCAGGGAAGGGGAGGGAAAAAGAAGGCTACACCTGATTTTTAGAGAACAACACTGAAGTTGTGAATTCTCCATATGAAAATTGCTTCTAGACAGCCCCTCGTAGGTGGAAGCAGCTAAAGCCAAGGTTAAGGTTATGGCTGGAGAGCACACTTTTGGTTTTGTACAGAGATTATAAAAGCCTATGTACACATGTGGTATCTGCAGTCATCAAATGCCGTGAAGATGATCCCTCAAGACCTTGAAATCACAAACTAAAAGAAGGTAAGTGTTCTTAATCTGCCTTTAATGCCCATTTCGGTCGTAAGCTGTGCCAGGGGAGGTTTGGGTTGGATATTAGGAAGAAATTCTTTACAGGGAGAGTGCTCAGCCATTGGAATGGGCTGCCCAGGGAGGGGTGGAGTCACCATCCCTAGAGGTGTTTAAGGACAGACTGGATGTGGCCTCAGTGCCACGGGCTGGGAACCACGGCGGGGGTGGATCCGGGGTTGGACTGGATGATCTCAGAGGGCTTTTCCAACCTGGCTGATTCTGTGATTTTGTGGTTCCTACTGAAACTCAAGTCCTGCTTCCCACCTGGGATCAAGCCCTGCGGGTGTCCAAAATGTGAATGGGGTGCAACCTCACGTGCCAAGGTGGGGGCACCCAGGCAGGTGCCGTGGCTGTGGCCCAGACTGGCAGCGGGGTGTCTGCCGCGCCGAGGGGCAGGAGGGGCCGTACCTGTACTTGGGGTGGCTGCACAGCAGCGGGGTCAGAATCACCACCTCGTATTCGCAGGTGGTGACCTCGGCCACGGAGAGGATCTCGTGCTTGGCCTCGGGGTGGCAGATGTACATGAGGGTGCTGGAGCGGGGCCGGTTCTGCCGCAGGCTGCAGGGCGTGCCGTTGCCCAGCTCCACCGCGTAGTACGGCGTCATCTGCCCCTCGATGTTCTTCGTGGGGATCTGTGCGGGGAAAGCAAAGGGAAAGCTCCTCCCACTCTTCTGGACCCCACCACCGCTGGGTTGAGACCAGACCTGGTGTTTCAGCAGCCAGGCCCTGAAGGACCCAAATCCACCCCTGCCAAGTCACCCCGGTACCTGCACTACCCCTCTGGGCATTCCTGGCCTGAGCCGCTCCTTATCCAGAGGATCCCACAGCTCCTGTGGCTGTGCCTCACAACCATCAAGGTACATACAAAGTAATTCCACTTTTTCACACCTGTAAACTCCTCAGGTTTGTCCCTTTGTGTCCCATCCAGCTTCCACTTTAAGAAATTAATTCCCTAAAGTGGTCAAGTCCCTCTCCTGGCTCCTGTCTTGGAAGCAGCTGGAGTTCTTGGGTTCCCAAAGTTCTGTTTGTGTCAGAACCCACAAAACTGACCTTTTCCTACCGGTGCTGCTTGAGCTACTGCAGGTTTTCAGTGCACAACCAACAGGGCTCTGTGCTAAAAGACACAGGTGCCTTCTGGGGTCGGGACACTCCAAGGATCCCAGACCTTTCTGTCCCTCACCTGCTCTGGCTTTTAAGCCACATCCCACTGTCACAGGCCACTGCCCCTCCCAAAAACTGTTCCATGAGTGAAGCAGGAAGACATTCACGAGGTTAAAGGGTGAACATGCCCTTTCCTGGCTAGAGATTCCATGCCTAAATTCTGTATGGCCTGAAATCCAGACCCTGTAAGTGCATTATATATACTGTCAAAAAAACCCCCAAACAAACAACAACAACAAACAAACAAAAGGCAATAAAGACTTAAATTTGCTCTGAAACTGAACAAAAAGCAGCTACACTACAAAACACCTGGTTTTCTTGACTTTCCAAGAGGCACAGCTACCACTGCCATTAAAACAGGCCACGTTCTGCCCCCTCAGTGACCTCCAGAATGCTCCTCAGACCTGGGTATTGCTGAGCCACCCCTCTGGGATACTTTAAAGGACACAGACACAAACCCTTCATTTCAGCAGGAAAATGAAGGATAACCAGCAATGAGGTCAAACCTGCTCTTGCTAATTCCAAACTCCAACATGCTTCGGGTACTTCCATTGTTTTGATATAAAACTGGAAACTCAAATTGAATTTTGGGGCCTAAACAAGTGGGAAAGGGAAGCACAGAGTTTTATGGGATGGGTCAGCAAGTCAATCTCTTGGGGATTTTGTGCTTTGTTAAGTGTTTCTCCCTACCTAAAATCTTTGGAAGTGTCATTAAGGGAATGGAGATCTCTAATGCAGCTGGGAAAATAACTGTCTGTGCTTATGTGTATCCATAGAAGGAGAGCACAGGATTCATCTTATTTAAGATTAGAATACTGTAAATAAGTAGAAGGGCAAGAAATGTGAGTAGCAAGACTAAATTAAATTTCTGAGCCGGGACCAATCATTTAAAGTGAGAAAAGTGCAGCTCAGGAACTGAGTTTCATTTCTTGATACTCATTTTGGGAGGGGACTAATTACATCATTTCATCATTAGATGGGATATGGGGAAGGAATCCTTCCCTGGGAGGGTGGGGAGGCCCTGGCACACGTTGCCCAGAGAAGCTGTGGCTGCCCCATCCCTGGAAGTGTCCCAGGCCAGGTTGGAGCAACCATGGCAGGGGGTGGAACTGGATCACCTTTAAGGTCCCTTCCAACCCAAACCCTTCTGGGATTCTATGACCATACATAAATTGCCTCCGCTACTGACGGGAAAAGTTAAAATAGATGTTTTTCACTTGCCTCTTTTGCACCATCTTTGGAATTTTCCTTCTCTTCTTGATCTGGGGAATAATTAAGAACGAGGTAAGTCTGTGCACTTGCAGTAAAATGAAATTATATACAGAGAACCTTATCTATTTGGTTTGTGTATTTGCTGGTACTTTGTAAACTGCCAAGAGCCACTTGCAGGTGCAAAAGAGGAAAGAAAGGAGACAACCAGTGATCCGGGGTCCAGAGCAAACAGAGCAAAATACAAGTCAGGAGGGTCTTCAAACAATTTGGGGTTGGTAGGACAGGCCTAATTCAGCCCTCACACCAGAGGCAGGGCTGGAAAACACGTCACTGCTGCTGCTCCTGTTTGGGAAGGGAGGGAACCAGACAGGGAACAGGCAGGTGCTTGGGGAGGAGCATGAGCTGCTGTGCAGGAAGCAGGGAAAGGACACAGTCTGCCACCTCAGCAGCAAGGACAGAGGGACAGCAGCCTAAAGGACTCAGCTGAGATGACCTGAAGCACCATCTCACATCGTTTCAGCACCCAGCCCCACAAAACTGTAACCTGAATTAAAGATCTTGTGCTCTGTGCAGCAGCACCTCGGGAGAACGAGGCACCACAAAGGATCCCTGTGACTCACTCCCACAGGAATGCCCAACAGCACATTGCTGAAGCCCTGTTTTTGCCAGGACTGAGACCTAACTGAGGGCTGCAGGCAGGGGGCCAGGAATGGGATTAATAGGACTAAACCCCCTCCAAAGGACTGCAGTGTTCAGTTAATCACTTTTAGGAAAACATTGGAACAGGAAAACAGGCCCACCTGTTACACAGCAGTCTAGAATTAAACAATAACCCCAACCTAGAGATGTTTTTTTCTATTCTTTCCATCAACCCTGGCAAATCAATGCTGAGTCTCTGGATTTTTAAGACTTCTTTGAGCTAATTTACAGGCAAAAAGCGCTCCGAAAATCAGTTCTTCTAAAGTGCCGTTTGAGTTTGGAGCTCAGCGACTCAATTTCCACCAAGTCCCACCTTAGGCACTTGAGTATTTCTGAAGAGCTGCACCAGATTCCCTAAAAAATGACTCTCAAGCTGTTCAAGGATCAAATCTACCAGCAAAGGTAAGAGTTGGGGTTTGCAGATTCTGTTTTATTAGGAAGCAGCAGAGCCCAAGGTGTGCTATGTGTTATCTGCCCTCTGCTCACAGTCTGAAAAACACTTCTCCCCACCCAAGAAAAAGGGTGTATTGACAAAGTCTGGGCTATCATACATGGATTCCATGTCTTAAATCCTATCTTTTCTTTCCCTGGCACTAATTATTGCAGATTAATGCAGCTGATGAATTAGCACAGCAAAACTGACAGGGTGGATGCAAGGAGAGGTGCCAAAAAGAATCGACTGAAAACAATTTATTTTGGAAAAAAACCCCAAGAAATCTACAAAATTCTACTCTTTGCACTGGGAATCAGTTTTCTACACTTGTATTTCTCAGCCAGGAGCAGTTAAAAACCAAACAATTGATTACCATCAGCAAAATATAATAATCTGAGACACACCTGGATCTGACAACGGGTTCTTCATCATCATATTCCCCAGATAGTATTCCTGGATGTTTATTTTCTGCAATCAAAAGAAGGTAAAACAAGTTTCAGTGATCATTTTCCCTGCTTTTTGAAGGAATTGCAGCCTTCTGGAGGAGCTGAGCAGGAACATGCCAGCAGGGAAGGGGCTGTGAGCAGCCTTACCTGCCCCGTCTCCTTCTCCTCGTGGTACTGACGGATGTGTTTGCCATGGCAGACCTCGTAGGTCCAGTAAGACTCAATCTTAAAGTTAAAACACATTTTAAAAACTATGTTTAGATATATTTACACACCACAACCCACCCTCCCCCCCAGAATGTTGGCTTTTGCAGCAGGAAATGCAGCCCAAGCGGGTGTGTTTGAGTGCACCCTCAAAAACAAGAGCACCCTGAGTGCTCTCAGTCTCCCCAGACATTTTGGTGATGTTCCAAGGAAACACACCAGGCAAAGCTTCCTTGACTCTCACGCAGATAAAACAAAGGGAAAATAAGTAAATCCACATTTTTCAGTTGCTACAGTAGCAACACAATTTCTCTGAATCCTGACATCTTCAATCATACAGAATTTTACCTGCAATGTTGAGACATAAAGGTGCAGAGCCCTTATTTCAGATTGAACTAGTGCTTGATTTACTACCCTAAAACCTTGACATGGACTGGATTATAACCTTTAAATTAGCATTTAATTACCAACACAGAAGTAACATACTCTGTAGGAACAGCTGCTTTGCTTAAAGAGAGGTTCCAGCAGTTCCCCTGGAGTAGGACCTTTATAGTCCTTTTCTTCTTCCTGGAACAGAAGGACATTTTGTGACATTAAAAATGACATGATAAAGACTCATCTCCAGTTTATAATTACAAAATAACTCTGCTGCACTCACCTCGTTGCCACTGGCTATCAGTGGCAGGATACATTTGTATTTCTCTTTATCCACAGTGGTCATGATGATGTAATTGTCCTCTTTGTACAGGACACCAGTCGTGGGCTACGGAAACAACCAACCTTTGCATCAGCCAGGTGAGTTTTCTGAGCGCTACTGGTCAGAAATACCCCTGAATCACTGAGTGGTGCTGCTAATTCACAGGACGTGCTCCAGAGTATTTCCTGGGCATTAGTTATAG